TCCGCCAAATGATGTTTTCTAGCTGCTAAGAAAGAAAATAATCGTGGAATACTTCTGGAGGGTTCGTCATGAATTTATCACCAAAATTTATCAATTGAGATCTCTTGCAGTCCTAACACAATGAAGGCAAAGAAAATCACTAATATAGAGGGGACCCTTGCCAGGATTCCTGGAATTTGATGGTCCAGCACACAATATACCTGAGAAGGAATAGAACATCTCAGAGCTGGTTAACCTGGCAAACAGGGCGCAATGATGCACTAAAAAAAATATAAAAATCCTGCGCTGATCTCAATTTGGCTGTTATCCTCTGTAGCAGCCCTGACTGTACAATTGTTATCTACACCTATCCTGATTGTAAAATCTCTCTCTCTCACTAATCCTGACTGTACAATCATGGTCATTTCAGAGAATGATTGTATAGTCATCCTCTACACCCATCCTGGTTGTATGATCATTCTGTACATCGATCCTGACACGAATATCATCCCTTTGCACCGATCCTGATTGTGCAGTCTGTCTCTGCACCAATCCTGTTTGTTCAATCATTTCTGCACCTATCTTGATTGAACAATCATCATCTACACTTATTCTGATTGTACAATCATCATCTACACTTATTCTGATTGTACAATCATTCTCTGCACCTATCCTAATTTGAAATTAATTTTTTGCACCAACCATGACTGTAAAATCGTTCTCTGCAACAGTCCTGTTTATTCAGTCATTCTTTGCACCTATCCTGATTGCACATTCATTCATTGCATCAATCCAGATTATACAATCATCTGCACGAATTCCGATCGTACAGGGATTTTCTACACTGATCCCAACTGGACAATCATTTTCCGCACCAAATCAGATTTTACCTTTTAAATACAGCACCTGCCCTGAACCAATAAACTGTAGCCAATGAAGTCACTGACAACAAATGATGGCCCAACAAGAGTTAGAATAGCAGCCAGACACAGATAACATTGCTGACCACAAAACTAAGAGACCACTGAGCCCACACATTATTATTAGCAGCTGGAACATTATAATGCAGACAGTGGAGGACCAGAGAGAGTAGAGCAGCACCGCACACATATACAGAACCCAACACAGTGCTACAATCAATCCACACTGAACCGGGGGATCAAACTTCTCCAGACATGTTCATAATCAGCATTTTATGAATATGATAAAATAGAAACGGGTAATTTCTCATATCACTGCATGCAGATAAGCATACACACCCCTGAATGATATCACTAAGCATATATATGTACATACACCTTCGAAATAATATTATTACGCAAATGTGTAAACTCCCCTGAATAATTGTACTATGCATATGTATACTATATACACCAATTGCTAATATTAGTGTACAAAATGTATATGTTACTACACACTATATATTACCACACCATACTTTACTTTATTATATAATACTTTACCAAATCACACTATACTGTATATTGCTACACTATACCTTATTATATATTGCTATTCTATGCCATATTCTTTTCATAAATTACTAGTCTATACTACACCATGCTATACTATGCCTTATATATATATTACTATACCATGTCATACTATACTATATATACTATACTATAAATTATTACATGGCCCCTGATTACATATTACTATAGCATACCATGCTTTATTATACTACACCATAATATCTACACTAGACTTTATTACTATAGTATATCATATACTACACCATACCACACTATACTATAGTACTGTACCATACCATTCTAAACTTATAAATATATATATATATATAATATATATATATATATATATATATATATAGACTATACGATACTATATTATACTGTACCTTAATTTCTATTGTTATACCATATCTTACTTTAGTATTATTACCATACTACACTATATTTACTCTACTATACCTCATTATATGTTACTCAACTATGCCATATTATATTTATATATTACCATATTATACTATTTTTTCTATGCTAGATCTTAATATATATTAATATAACATACTCTATGTTACTAAACTATACCATATTAGATTCTACCACACCATACTATCTATACTAGATATTATGTATTACTATAGCATGCCATATACTACAACATACCACACCATATTATAATATATATAAATATACTATACTATATTATACCTTATTATATGGTACTATACCATGCTATACTATATATTTAATAAACAATACTTTATATATTACTGTATATACAGTACTATTATATGTTATTACTTTGTTTCAGCGTAGTATACAGTGCTATACAATAGAAAGATATAACATGCTATACTTTACTGTATTATACAATACTGTGCTATACCAAAATGTATTTCTATGCTCTACAATACTCGTATCAAACTATTCAATACATTACTGTACCACACCATATCGTGTTATAACTGGTGTATATTACATTCCTATATCATACTATACATGCTATTCCATACCATAGTATACAGTACTGTAAAACACCAAACCATACATTACTTTGTCATACCATACTACACTTTACCATACTGTATAATACTGCACATTACTGTAACACACACATATATTACTATGCTGTGCTATACTACACATTACTATACCATACCATAATATACCTTACCATATATTACTATACCATTCTATACAATACAGTACTGCACTTTATTTTACCTTACTCTATTGTATACTACTATACAAAACCATACATTACTATGCTGCAACGTGCAACACATTACCATACCTTACGATACTCTACAATAGCACAAATTATTTTTACTATACCATATAATACAACACCATTATTATACCATACCCTGCTACACATGCCATACCATGCCATACTTTAAAATAGTACGCGTTATTTTACCATTCTATTCATTACCATGCATTATAGTACAACACCATACTTCATACTACTAAACTTTGCCATACTACAAATTACTATGACATAATATACAATACTGCACATTACTATACTGTACTATACTATGTTTCTTTTTAATATGCCAGAAGTAGAGTAAAGCTGTGATATGTAAATACTGTACATGGTGACTATGTAGAAGTGGGCACCCGTTTTTTTTCTATCAAGACACTAAATTTCCAATTTACACTCACTGGGTATGTTTTCATTACTCTTCACAAATGTTTTTTTTTTTATGAAAATGTATGAAGATATATTTTTTATAAAGCTAATGAATTCAATTCTGCTGAATTTTTCTCTGTGCAAGTAGCCAGTGAAGTGCCTGTCTAACGAATGTCCAAATCACCACCTGAACAAACAGATTGCAGAGCGTCCAGAGGATGACCATAAATTATAAAGGCTCATTCATTGTTAATATTAACACTCCGCTCTAAGAAATAGGTACATTTAGTTTAATGGTGGAAGTTGCTTGCACTGACTGCAGAGTTACAGAAAATAAACAAAACAACACTGTCAGAGATCTGCGCAGTTTTGCCAGGGACACAAGTAACACTTGCTGGAAATGATTGTCAGCTCAGCTGCTGTACTGTAGGTGGTTGTGCTGGTGAGGGCGGGGGGGGGGGGAGGGGGTGGTAGCACTAAACAAACACAACATAAACAAGCTGCAACATCAGAGATGGACAGAGAACTCCACAACACAAAACAGAAGCCTCAATAGACTCATTATCCATACATCTTCATAAATGCAGCTTCACCATCTCTCCTCCGGGAGGCGCCACACTCATTCTGCATTGAAGACCAGCATTAATAATCATAAAACTTCACCTTTTTATCCTGTCCTTGATTGCAGAATCCCTTACCTTCCTATATTACTCACCATATACTATTTTAAAAGGTAAGACAGTGAATGACCAAGAGTTCTCTGGTTGCATTCTGTGTGGGGTATAAAATATGGATGGCATGTTCCTGGACATATCAAAAGATGCAAAAATGACCTCTGACAAGGATTGCTGTCAGCTGATGTCACCCTGCATACCCTAAATCAGTAGTCAGGGCAAGCAGCAAGCCAGTTAAAAGCTAGTCAGTATATTGTTTCTGCTGGAACCCCCCTGACCCCCGGTGTCTTTTGTCAACTGGTCACTTTACCTGGTTGGTAAATAACATCTTTCAGGCTGCGCACAGCTGGAAGGACAGGTACCTACATGGAAGAGCAGAGGGACTTGGATGGAAGGACAGGAGGCTGTGGCTGGCTGTGAAGGACGGGAAGGACGGGAGGCTGTGGCTGGAAGGACGGGAGGCTGTGGCTGGAAGGACGGGAGACGCTGTGGCTGGAAGGACGGGAGGCTGTGGCTGGAAGGACGGGAGGCTGTGGCTGGAAGGACTGGAGGCTGTGGGTGGAAAGACAGGAGGTCTTGGATGGAAGGACAGAGAGTCCTGGATGGAATCACAGCAGAACCTAGATGGAAGGAAAGGGGGTTCAGAATGGAAGAAGAGTATAAATGGGGACCTGGATTCAGGGACAGACCAAAAAGGAGTGACAAAAAGACTTAGATGAGAGAACAGGAAAACCTGGATGAAAGGACAGAGAGACCTCAGCAGAAAGATAGAGGGACCTGAATGGATAGAGAGAAGGACCTGAATGGAAAGAGGGAGGAATGAATGGAAGGATAGAGGAACCTGGATGGAAGGACAGAATGACCTATGTAGAAGCTCATAGAAGCATAGAGGAACCTGGATAGAAGGACAGTGGGACTTGGATGGAAGGACAGAGGGACATGAATGGAAGGACAGAGGGACATGGATGGAAGGAAAGGTGGTTCTGAATGGAAGGGGGGGGGGGGGGGGTCCTGGATAGAAGGACAGAGGGAATTGGATGATGGAGGGCAGGGATGGAGGACCTGGATGGAAGGACAGGGGATCTTGGGTGGAAGGACAGGGATCTTGGGTGGAAGGACAGGGGATCTTGGACAGACAGACCAGAATATACAGAGTTCAAATATGTAAGTGGATGGTACAAAGTCAGGGATACTGACTGGAGTCCAGTCGGGATTATAAAGACACAGTTTTGGAACATGCTGTCACCTCAGGTAATCCCTCCGACACAAGATTAGATTGGCCTTGGTGTATAAGGTGGATCCGACCTCCCCGAGACGACAGTCGCAGCATGCGCACTTCAGACAGTCTTCATGCCAATACTTGTCCAGGGCCTTTAGCAGGTAGCGGTCCTTGATCTTACGGTTGCAGCCAGCACAACCTTTCGGTTTGGTGTCTGGCTGAACTGAAAGCATTTGTATACCTGCAAGGAGAAGACATGCATGTTATTCATATGCAGTGACCACACATGTTATAAATCAAACGATAGGGACACTGTACATCATTGTTTTCAGAGGTGGAAGGGCTCTGCGGGTATGATGGGCTACACATGAAGCCCAAACCTGCAGAACAGGACCCCTGAGAGGGACTGGCAAGCAGATGGGACACAAATAACAGGAAATTCTATGGAAAATCAGCGGTGAGGATTCTGGGGGAGAATAAAATGCTGCCGCTAACCTTTCCGCTCAGACTGACTTGACAGCTTAAGAAGAGAAAATCATAATTAAAGTGAGAAGTAAATAAGAGGCTTTCCGCTGCTCACAAGCTGGGAGAAGCATCTCATTTAATTGCCCAGATTGTATTGTGCGCGGCGTGCACGCTTGATTGCACGCATTATCCTCTTGTTCTGCGTCACTCATCCACACACTGCCAGATAGTTAACACACCAAACTATTGCTGCACACAAAGTGTCTCTCGTCCCTGTCCTGGAGCACCTACCTGCCCGGAGGGGTGAGAGGTAAGTGTGCCCAGGCTTGTTGGGTCCCGAAGGGAAAGAATTTGTGTGGGGTGGCCATTCATGTGTCCGGACACATCAAACAAAAGCTGTGGCCCCTCTGTCCCTCATGCTGGCCTACAATCCTCACTCCCCGGCTCTCAGCGTCCCTGCAGGCTGCACTCCCGTATGGAACAACAATGCAAATCCCGCTGCCCGGATCGCACAGCTCTGCCTCCCCCCCCCCTTTTTTTTTCTTTTTTTTTTTTTTTTGAGCAATGAAGCTGGGAACCAATTTGATTCCCCTTTCTCCAATGCAGCTGCAAGGCTCACAGATACTGACATTTTTCCACTCTTATCAGTTTAATTACAGTTACCATAGCAGCAAAGTGCTGGTGCTTGGCAAAGGCCAACAAGAGATTTGCAAGACTGACTTCAATTTTGACGCAGCTGAAATACAAAAATACACACAGACACACAATTCACAGCAGCACAAAGCCGCCCGCCACCATTCAGCATCCCCGGGCCCACACCACCATCACCCGGGACCAGGAGGAAGCAGCCAGCCCCGGAGCAGTGTGACCCATGGAGCTGACACTTCATCTGCCGCCGTGCACAATACGCTTCTACCTACCAAAACTTTTCTCCCTTTTGTGCATGAGTCGGTGAGAGCAGACCCTCATTGGGCGGCAGCTGGGGGTCCCTTCTTGGCTCCAGGAGCAGCTGGACGAGGCTATTGTTCCCCTGACACAATGTCACACACAGGCCGACACAGTGTGCAGATGAGGCAGCCGCTGACAAAGCCACATGCTCTCTAACTCCAGAGTAAATCCTCTAATCCTGCTCTCCGCTGGGCTCCTCTAACAAATGATGAGTCTGTCACATGCAGCTCGTTCAGCACTGGGGGAGGGGACAGCTCCCAGGCACAGCCTAACTGGAGGACACAGGCACAGCAAATGCCAACTTGTCCGGGGATGGGTGGGGGGGAAGACTTGGGGACACGGCGACCCTCCCCACAGAAGGTGCCCCCCCAACCCTCCGACACTTGGGTGCACTCTTTATATTACGAGCCTCTCTGGGCTGCAGTCTCACACGGGAAGGGGTCAGCACAGCGCCAGCAAGGTTCCCACTAAACGCAGCTTGTTCTGAGTATTGTAACGCCAACGTATCACGAGGATGGAAGAAGCGCTCATGCATTCCAAACCTCCGAAGCTCCTCACTCACAGCAGATGTGCCCACCAAACAAAAACCCTGAAAAACAGCATTGGTAAGGGGCAGCAGGACAGCGAGCGCAGCCACAGGTGCCTGTCACTCCCCACAACTTACCTATCACAGCCAGAGGAGCAGAGCAGACACACACTCTCATCAGCAGCCGCAGCCAGACATCACACAGCACAGGAAAGGTCACCCAGATATTACTGAGCTCAGCTCCAAAATTCTGCACTTGTCAGAGAGCTGAGAGCAGGTAGGTACTTCCTCCACATCTCCTCCCTCCACTCCCTCCCCTCCCCACCTACCTCTATATACAGCTGCCCCCTCTGCAAACACATTCACTTCTCTGGATCCTTTCCTAAAAGCACAGCAAGCAGGAGAAACTGATGTATGGACCACAGCTCCCCTACGTGTGCCAGTCCCTACACCCAGTCAATGCACCCTATCAATGCATCCCTACACTATTCCCCCCATCACTGCACCCTAGTCCCCTACACTACCCCAGTCACTGCACCCAGTCACTGCACCCAGTCCCTACACCCTGACACTGCACCCTATCAATGCACTATGCCCCATCACTGCACCCAGTCCCTACACCCTGACACTGCACCCTATCAATGCACTATGCCCCATCACTGCACCCAGTCCCTACACCCTGACACTGCACCCTATCAATGCATCCCCTATCAATGCACTATGCCCCATCACTGCACCCAGTCCCTACACCCAGTCACTGCACCCTATCCCTGCACTATGCCCCATCACTGCACCCAGTCCCTACACCCTGACACTGCACCCTATCAATGCATCCCTGCACTATGCTCCATCACTGCACCCAGTCCCTACACCCAGTCAATGCACCCCTACACTATGCCCCATCACTGCACCCAGTCCCTACACCCAGTCACTGCACCCTATCCCTGCACTATGCCCCATCACTGCACCCAGTCCCTACACCCAGTCAATGCACCCCTACAGTCACTGCATCCTATCAATGCATCCCTACACTATTCCCCATCACTGCACCCAGTCCCTACACCCAGTCACTGCACCCTATCAATGCATCCCTACACTATGCCCCATCACTGCACCCTATCCCCTCCACTATGCCCCATCACTGCACCCCTACACTATCCCCACACCCAGTCACTGCACCCTATCCCTGCACTATGCCCCATCACTGCACCCAGTCCCTACACCCAGTCACTGCAGCCTATCCCTGCACTATGCCCCATCACTGCACCCAGTCCCTACACCCAGTCACTGCACCCTATCCCTGCACTATGCCCCATCCCTACACCCTGACACTGCACCCTATCCCTGCACTATGCCCCATCACTGCACCCAGTCCCTACACCTTATTACTGCACCCAGTCCTACACCCAGCCACTGCACTCTATCAATGCATCCCTGCACTATGCCTTATTACTGCACCCAGTCTCTACACCCAGTCACTGCACCCTATCAATGCATCCCTACACTATGCCCCATCACTGCACCCAGTCCCTACACCCTGTCACTGCACCCAATCCCTACACCCAGTCACTGCACCCTATCAATGCATCCCCACACTATGCCCCATCACTGCACCCAGTCCCTACACCCTGACACTGCACCTTATTACTGCACCCAGTCACTGCACCCTATCAATGCATCCCCACACTATGCCCCATCACTGCACCCAGTCCCCACACCCTGACACTGCACCTTATTACTGCACCCAGTCTCTACACCCAGTCACTGCACAATATCAATGCATCCCTACACTATGCCCCATCATTGCACCCAGTCCCTACACCCTGACACTGCACCTTATTACTGCAGCCAGTCTCTACACCCAGTCACTGCACCCTATCAATGCATCCCTACACTATGCCCCATCAATGCACCCAGTCCCTACACCCTGACACTGCACATTATTACTGCACCCAGTCTCTACACCCAGTCACTGCACCCTATCAATGCATCCCTACACGATGCCCCATCACTGCACCCAGTCCCTACACCTTGACACTGCACCTTATTACTACACCCAGTCACTGCACCCTATCAATGCATCCCTACACTATGCCCCATCACTGCACCCAGTCCCTACACCATGTCACTGCACATTATTACTGCACCCAATCCCTACACCCAGTCACTGCACCCTATCAATGCATCCCTACACAATGCCCCATCACTGCACCCAGTCCCTACACCCTGTCACTGCACCCTATCAATGCATCCCTGCACTATGCCCCATCACTGCACCTTATTACGGCACCCTGTCACTGCACCCCCATCATTGCACTCTGTTACCTCACCCTTTTACTGAACCCCATCCATACACCACCTCACAGATTCCTATTATTATGCCTGCTCAGTGCACCATATCCCTGCACCTTATCACTGCACCCCATTCTTACTCTACATCATAGCACCGTACTCCTCTACCTCCTCACTGTTTCCTCATCCCTAGAGCCCATCCCTATACTCTGTCACAACACTCCATCCCTACATTCTGTTCTTGCACACCAACCCTACATGCTGTCAATGCACCCTATCCCCACACACTGTTACTGTACCCCTGTCACTTTACCCCATCACTGCACTCAGTCCCTACACTCCATCACAACACCTTCTCCCTATACTCAGTCACACCCTTCATACACCCATCACTACATCTCTGCACCCCATCACTGCAGAAGTCCCTGCACTAGTCCCCAACACCACACTGGTAACTCTACCCTGTCACTACACCTGCCACTAAACCCCATTGTTACTTTCATCACTGCACCCAAACCACTACACCTGTCAGTCTACCAATCACTACAGCTTCACTTAATTCCCATCCCTACATTCCCTCACTACACCGCTTACTCTACTCATCACTATACCCTTCACTTCATCCATCACTGCTCCCCATCACAGCCTTCACCTCATCCACATCACTGCTCCCCATCACCACAGCCATCACTTCATCCACATCACTGCTCCCATCACCACAGCCATCACCTCATCCACATCACTGCTCCCCATCACCACAGCCATCACTTTATCCACTTCACTGCACCCCATCACCTCATCCACATCACTGCTCCCCATCACTGCCTTCACCTCATCCATCATCAGCTCCCCATCACCACAGCCATCACCTCATCCACATCACTGTTCCCCATCACCACAGCCATCACCCATCATCCACATCACTGCTCCCCGTCACCACTGCCTTCACCTCATCCACATCACTGCTCCCCATCACCTCATCCACATCACTGCTCCCCATCACCACTGCCTTCACCTCATCCACATCACTGCTCCCCATCACCACAGCCATCACCTCATCCACATCACTGTTCCCCATCACCACAGCCATCACCTCATCCACATCACTGCTCCCCGTCACCACTGCCTTCACCTCATCCACATCACTGCTCCCCATCACCTCATCCACATCACTGCTCCCCATCACCACTGCCTTCACCTCATCCACATCACTGCTCCCCATCACCACAGCCATCACCTCATCCACATCACTGCTCCCCGTCACCCTTCACCTCATCCACATCACTGCTCCCCATCACCTCATCCACATCACTGCTCCCCATCACCACTGCCTTCACCTCATCCACATCACTGCTCCCCATCACCACAGCCATCACCTCATCCACATCACTGCTCCCCATCACCACAGCCATCACCTCATCCACATCACTGCTCCCCATCACCACAGCCATCACCTCATCCACATCACTGCTCCCCATCACCACTGCCTTCACCTCATCCACATCACTGCTCCCCATCACCACAGCCATCACTTTATCCACTTCACTGCACCCCATAACCACAGCCTGTACTTCATCCACATCACTGCACCCCATCGCCACAGCCATCCCTTCACCCCAGCTCTACATCCCATTACCACAGCCATCACTTCACCCCATCATTACAGTCTTTACTTCACCCCATCATTACAGCCATCACTTCACCCCATCACCACAAGGCATCATTACACCCCCTTCAGTAGATTGGATCACTTCATCCCCTTCACTACACCCCATCTCTGTATAGTATAACTTCAGCTCCATGACTACACCCCATCTCTACATTGTATCACTAAATTCCCACCACTACACTCCATCACTGTATGGTATCACTTCATCTCCATTACTACAGCCCATCACTACATAATATTACTTCTTCCTAATTACTACATCTATTTATTTAATCTCATCACTACATGGTATCACTTCATCCACATCACTACACCCCATAATTGCATCATATCACTTCATCCCTAATAACTGCACCCCATCACTACATCTTATCACCTCATCACCATCAATGTACCCAGTCAGTATATTGCATCACTACCCCCATCACTACATTGTATCACTTCACCTCCAGCACTACATTTTATCACATCATCCCCATTACTACAGCCATCACTACATCCCCATCACTA